TACACCTCCAGATGCAGGAAGAGGACCACCTGCATCATGAAGGACCACACTCACCCAGCACACACACTTTTTGCCCCGCTCCCCTCAGGAAGGAGGTTGAGGAGCATTAAGTGTAGAACCACTAGACTGAGGAACAGCTTCTACCCTGAGGCTGTTAGACTCATGAATCTCTAACCAGAATAATCACTGTGAAAAATCATATCATGTTGCTGCTGATCTGTTTCATGTTGCTGCTGATCTGTTTCATGTTGATGTGATCATTCCTGCTCATCTGCTCACACAGACTCATGTTCGTGCTGCTGTTCAACATAATGTTTTTATGCTGTTAGTGCTCTGTGTATCTTTAGTTGATGTTTTTCTTAGTTCATATCTTTGATCGTATCACTGTTTTTATTTTATTCTTTATTGTTGGATGTAACTGGGACCCTGTGGACATCATCTCGTTCCACCACATGAGATGTGTATGATAAATTAAAAAACTGACTCTGACTGAGAAATGATCAGTTTCTTCAAACTGAAACATTTTTCTGGTGAAAACAAACGATTTCAAAAAGAAGCTTTTAGCTGCTTCTGAAAACATCACTCACTGGGTCCTACCTGAGGAACTCCCAGGTGTTCGGGTTCTACCTTTAGTTCAACAAACAGTTGTGAATTTTCACACAGAAGAGCAGAAATCCACCTTCCACGAGCCAATCAGCAACCTTCCTCAGAAAACAGGAAGTGATCTCATCAGGTAGGAAAACACCTTGTAAACTCACCTATCACATTCATCCAGCCCAGATGTTGACACCTGGACAGGTGTTTGACCAGCTGCTCCATGACAGCAGGATTCTCTGAGACAAAAGAAACACCTGAGACAGAGACAGGTGGACAGACAGACAGGTGGACAGACAGACAGGTAAGACAGAGACAGGTGCGATCTTGTTTTTTTAAAGGACCTCCAGTTTCCAGAACCGGCGTTTCTTCTGGATCCAACTGGGGTGGACCATGACACAGTGGAAACGTGGATTTGCCTCAGTCAAACGAGTAGTCCAGAACCTTTGGAAGAAATGGGCCAGAATAGAACCTGCAACTCTTCTTCAGAATCAGGAATGTACAGTAGCAGAGAGGAAACGACTGAAACAAGCGTTTTTAAGGACTGTGCAGCTTGAACAGCAGGAATGGATGGGTGCTAACCAGAGAGAAGCTGAAACAAAACATCCAATAATGTATTTACAGTCGTGGTGTTTCCTGAAGGAATGCATATCACCCACCACCTGAGATCATGTAACGATGAGAACGTTATAGTTATTTCTGTGAAACCTGGTAAAGGACATGTTGAACACTGGTCTGATGTGTTGAGGATCACAGTGGTGTAGACTGACAGTGGCAGCTGGCCCACTGCCGACTCACTACACAGCTAAAATTAACAAAATACAGAATGAGCTAAAGTTAGCTAAATATATGCTGAAGATCAAATTTGAACGAGGACAAAAAAAAAGAGCAGATGCTCCAGCCAAAATTAGCAAAACAGTAGCTGCTTCTTCTTTCAGCTTTTCCCTCTTGAGAGGTTTCCACAGAGAGTCCTCCTCCTCCAACTAACTCTGTCCTCCGTGTCCTCTGTCCTCACTCTGTCCTCACTCCAACTACCTCCATGTCCTCTCTAACTGCATCCACATGTCTCCTCTTTGTCTTTTTCCTGCAGCTGCATTTCTAACATCCTTCTACCAATATACCCACTGTCCCTCCTCTGGACATGTCCAAACCACTGTCCCTCCTCTGGACATGTTCAAACCACTGTCCTTGGCCATTCCCCGACATCCCTCAAGAATGTTTATGGATCTCACCGGAGGGAACTGGTAGATTATTCCATCTTTATCAGAACTCTTACAGTGTCCTCAAGAGTGTCCTTGGACATCTCACCGCTCTCAGTTAAACACACAGGAACACAGAATATGGATTCAAGCATCAGGTGGGCAGCATCACAGGCAGGATGTAACGGGTAAACATACAGGCAGGAAGTAACGGGCAGGACGTAACAGGTAAACGTACAGGCAGGAAGTAACAAGTAAACGTATAGGCAGGAAGTAACGGGTAAACATACAGGCAGGACGTAACAGGTAAACGTACAGGCAGGAAGTAACAGGTAAACGTACAGGCAGGAAGTAACAGGCAAGACGTAACAGGTAAATGTACAGGCAGGAAGTAACAAGTAAATGTACAGGCAGGAAGTAACAGATAAATGTACAGGCAGGACATAACAGGTAAATGTACAGGCAGGAAGTAACAAGTAAACGTACAGGCAGGAAGTAACGGGCAGGACGTAACAGGTAAACATACAGGCAGGACGTAACAGGTAAACGTACAGGCAGGAAGTAACGGGAAACGTACAGGCAGGACGTAACGGGTAAACGTACAGGCAGGAAGTAACTGGGAAACATACAGGCAGGAAGTAACTGGGAAACATACAGGCAGGAAGTAACAGGTAAACATACAGGCAGGAAGTAACGGGT